TCAGCAGGATTTTGAAATTGCTCCAAATAACTGCCTCTTTGCTTGCATGAAACACTCCTAATTGTTGATGATACTTTAAAAATATAACCTTTACTGAAAAAAAAACATTCAAAAAGGACAAATGGATACTACTGCTGGATGGACCTGTGCTGTTCCACTTAGGTGTTCAGACTGAGATCATCCAACTCAGCATGTGGATACTTTAAGGTGGGCACTGATTCATCCTGCCAAAAGAGTTTGATCTAATGGGTATTTGATTATTATTTATACTCCATAAAAAATATAGCAGCAAGCTTTTAAGGCTGCAGGGTCAAACTTTCAGAAGAGAGAAGATTCCTAGACTAAGGCAGGATAACCCTTCTAGCCTTATATGCCTATGCACTATGACTGATTTTAATCAGAGGATCACATACAATTTTTGCAAGGGATCCCTTTATCATTCAATCCACAGGCTCTGACATTATATTAAATCTTTCCAAAGAACTCTAATCTGTAAAAATCCATCACAGAAAACTTACTTAATGGTTGGTATTTGGCAGTCAAAGAGCCAAGTACAGAGCCTGCAGACCAGGAAACATCAGGCATTGATGCTTTCTGCAGCTCTTCTGGCTTTGTCTGGAATTTCTAACTGTAATTACTGTCAAGTATAAGTATTTTTCTGTGCTGGGTTGGCAGAAACACGTAATGATGGCTTACAATGTAGATCGGTAACAAACACAACAGGTCCTGTAATTAGCCTCAATGGATTAATAAAACATAGCTGCATAGCAGCTATCACCTCCTTCCATGCTGGCTGGCCAGCATGTGGGTTGAAGTAAATTGTGGGGAGACAGCTGAAAGAAGTGGTAGGGAGAGTATGGGATGGGTCATGGACAGCATGATGGGAGTTCTCTCCCCGCTCCTTGCCTCACATGTAAAGACCATCCTCAGCCCCCAAGGACTGAGCACCAGCATGTCTGAGGGTGAGACACGTGCTAGAAAGCATTCAGGTCCCTGCCTGCTTGAGTGGATGGTCCAGCCCTTCAGGACTCCTGTTCAATCAGGTCCCAGGGTTCGACATCGTGCAGGGTCATGTATGTTCTAAAGGCAAAGTGAGTAATGATCTCCAGTGCTTGGCTGGGAAAGCCTTTATGAATCCACAGTAGCATTGCAGAGCTGCAGACTGAAAGAAAAGAGGAGCACCCTCCCACCCCCACTAACACCATGGGCTCTGCTGCCAGGAGAAAAACATTTCCAATTCAATTGTTTTCCTTGTGGCAAAGCTAAGATTCCTATTCAGGACATTTAAAAGCTATAAATCAAAGCATCCACAGTAGAAATAAAATTGGTCAAGATCAGGCTTTCCAAGCAGGCAGGCAAACACACATCCTGGTAAGCTAAAGTGGCTCTAGTGTCTGCTTAAAGCCATCTTACCAAAGTGAGAGCACAGCTGCATTTTCTTTCAAAATACTACTGCAGTCTTTTAAGAGAGAGGGGGAATAATCTAAATTCTGGCAGCGGGGAATATTTTACAAATCATATATGCTTTGGCATCACGCCCTCAAAACCAGGGGCCTTTACTCACAGGCTTTACTGGGAGAGATCCACCCACCTCAAGTGGGATTAATTAAAAAAGGCATGTATCATGCAAATAGTTTCTGTTTCCTTACAGAAATATTCAGAGCACATAACCCAAACCAGCTTTAGAATCAGAGAGAAGCAAGGAAGAAAATTATTTCCTTCTCCTCTAACCATTTTCCTTTCCCTGTACAGTAAGTGAGGAACAGTGAGAAAATGCCTAGAGCTCACCATTTCTGTATTATTCCTTCGATTAAATGCTAATAAAATTGAAAGGAAAAAAGGATTTTTTTAAAGGCAGCACTTGAACCTCACTATAAGGTGGCCAGTTCTCCAAACCAAACACGTGCTCAGTCACTCACTGGAAAAGGACAGTCCAAATCTTACCCCTGAAAATGATCTTTTTATCTTAAGGTGGAACAGGCAAAAAAGGAAAGTTATATTTCTTTGGCATCCGCTCCATGTGAGAGTGATGGGGGCTGCAACAAAAAGCTCCTTTGGAAAGCCAGATGAACTCTAAAAATACAATTTTCTTCTCAGGAAGCTAAACTATTTCCCTAGATATGAGAGATCCTGACATTTCAAGGAATCATTGCAGAAAATGGTGGTAGGTCAGTCAGAGCTGAGAGCCCCAGTTCAAAAATAAGTCACAGAGAAAGCTCAAGTTTCCACAAGAACTCTTCCTCTAAACTACTTTTTTACCTTTTTAATATCTCAGACCCATTTTCGGAGTCAATTTCCTATGATCCTGCAAAGGCTATTATTAAAACCAGACCAAGGGTAGCAGAAATTCCAGGGCTCAAAAGCAACATTTAATAGGCGCAGGAGTCGGCCACACTGTCCCCCTCAGATGATTTCCCCTGCAGCCCTTTCCCTGGGATTTCCTCTCTTGGAGTTTAGTCAGCAGCAGAAACCTGAAGTTTCAGCAAAACAGCAAACCCTTCCTTCATTCTTAAGCAGCTGAGTTTTTTTTTTTTATGTCTGAAGCTTTCATAGCTCTAAAAAAGACATCTAGGATCCTGTCCAGGAGATGTGCATTGCAGATATTTTTCCACAAAAATGTCAGGCAGTCATGCATTCAATTATATGTATCCAGCTACAGCATTTTTAAAGCACTGACCTCCTTTATCAGCCACTGCTTTGCATGCCACCAACAGCAATCACAAATCAAGCTGTTCGTGGGCTGCTTACCCACGTGTCTTTTGTGTGCTAGAAAATTCCTTCCTGATCGCCATCCCAACTATCACTTAAGCATCAAAAAGTTTATCATCAGACATGCTTTTGGCAAGCCACCTCAGGAAAGTAATACTCATGCAGGACCACAGCCAGGCAGGACAAAGGAGACATGCTCATTTGCAAGGCAAGGTGAGAGAAGCCAGGAGCGATGGTTCTCTCCAGTAGTACAACTGACAAAACACCCAACCTCATTTCTGTATCCAGTATGGAATTCCTCCTCTGACAGCACAGGGGAAACACTGGGACCAGTGTCTTTCAGCTCAGGCTCTCCCAACGAGAGGACCCTCTTCCCTTTCAGCACAAAGTTTAGTACCCAGAAAGGTAATCCTTGGTTTCTCCCCAGTGGCCCTACTGCAGGCTAAGGGATATCCACTAAGAGGAAAGCTTGCATTTCATGGTTGGGCACTGATGCAACAACTGCCTTCTCGTAGCAAGTATATAAAAATATCTCATTCCTTTGATGTACCCAATTTATTTATTCTTCATATTATAAAGCGTAATTGTATTAGAAACACTGAGCCTCAAGTTTAGGTTACTGACAACTACAACACATCTCACCTATTTAAAAGAAAGTTTTTCTCCAGAGGTTCTCAATTACCATTTCTAAAATAGAAAATGTGCATATTTCCTTTTTGTTTTTATTTAACTGGCATATTTTTGCAAAGTGTGACTAATTTTAAGGTAACAGTAATTTATTAAGAATGGAGAAGCCCCTTTGTTCCAACATTGCCTTATCTGCCCATGCCTCTCAAAATTTAGGAAGTTACCAAAGCCCTTGAAATCAGAAGCTTTCAGATATATATATGTCTATATTAATGATTACATATATCATTGTGAAAATAAATATTATGGATATTTTATTCATATAACACCAGAAAAAGGCAGTTAATGTCACACAAAATTATAAAATAATAAAACTTTAAAAAGTACTGATAAATGCAAAGCCCTGAGAAGGAAAGGAAATTATGTGGTGATGAAAATCCCCTTCCTTAACTAATTGTTTAGTACCATATGATCTACACTGTTAGACAGCTATGGTCTGTTTTCAGCTGGCTGTAAATTACTTGCCTTGTGGAATAAGAATCAGACTCCTATCAGTTTGTTCCACTGGTTCTAAGAGGATTGTTCTTGTTCTCTCCCAGAAGAGCCATTAATTCCTCTGGACTCAGAGGGGCACAAGTGAGGAGCTGTACTCCTTCCTGCCCCTCTTCTGCCAGAGGGTACAACACAACCAGAACAGGGGTTCTTACTGCAAGAAAATCTGGTGTCTTCAAACTGGTTGACTGGAATTTATTTTTTTTTTAATGAAAAAACTTTCTATCTTTACAAAAGGTCATATTTGTGCTAAAAATTATTTTCTCAAAATGCCTTTGACTCTCTAGAGGGAATGCCTGGTTTTGCTTTGTTACAAGACTTAGTCCACAATAGTGCTTGACTTTCTGACTCAGTGATGAATCTGTCTGTTATGCTAGAAGGAGAGAACCATGCCCAGCACCAGAGAGATGAGACATCTTACCTTGGGACACTGGGAGGAGCCCGCGTGGGCCGAGAGGGGATCTGGGGAGGTCCTCCAAGGGCTTCACCACCACTTGGGAAGGGAGGCAGTGGTCCTGGGCGGAACGGGACTGGCGGAGCCCCTGACTGAGGGCCTGGAGATGGGATTGCAGGAGCAGGTCCTCGGCCAGATAAAGGCCTGGTTGGGGGAGTGTTTAATGTAGGCCTCTTCTGAATGGAAGGACTTGGAGGAGGTGATCTAGTGAAATATCAGACATTTAAGAAGTTCAGTATGGTGAGGGTTTGGTTTTTTAGGTTTGTGTTTTTTATCTTATTACTTTTTTTTTTTTTTTAACAAAAAATAAATGCTTCTTTATGACAATTTTATTTTCATTTGCTGCCAGGGTCAGAGCATCACATTGATTTAAATCTCACACTTACCACAGACAGAACGTCTTACAATAGCCAGAAATAAATGTATGATCAAAGAGGTAAATATAATGGACTTTAGCATTAAGTGTTCCAATGATGTTCTGTTAAGTGGATTTTCTAGGACGTGGAGCCTGATCTGCTCAAGTCTTGTAACAGCTTGCAAGAGGCTGTGTGGATACAGCTGGGGTGACAGAAGTGGCTGCTGTCTGATGCATCAGACAAGGTACAAATCTACTGGATGGTCTTCTGTAAGGCACGTACCCTGTCTGGTGTTCACATGTGTATCCATACAAGATGTATATCTGGGAAAATGTTCTGATTTCCCTCACAAATATCATTAAAGACCTGGAGGAGTGTCTGTCCAAAAAGACGGGTAGGGAAGGAGCTGCTGACGCTGACAATGTCTGCCTGTCCTAAATTTAATTGCATTACAGATTTGAGGATCCTTACCTGCGGGCCTGCTGAAGCCAAGAGTCATCTACTGGAGGGGGTGCAGGGGTTGAGACAGTGCTGGTGCTAATATCACCAATGATTGCCAGGGCTTCCTTTAGTGCTTGGTACATGCGGAGTATTTCATCTCGCCTCTGTGCTTGTTCAGCTGACTCCTCCATTAGAGTGTTTTGGTCCTCAGAAGAATACAAGTGAGCCAGGAGCTCTGCATTGATAAATTCTTTTACCTGTTTCATCAGATCAAAAAAACAACAACAACAAAACCAAACAAATAAGCAAAAAAAAAAAAATCCCTATTGAAAATATAAGAAATACAGAACAAATCCAGTGTGAGATCGACACCACCAGGAGACAGACATATCTAAATTTAATCTGTTTCTTCTACTGCCATATTTACATCAATTCTACTGATTATGCAGTTTTTGTTATGGCAGCTCAACAGCCTGAGGTCTAGCTGTGGCCCAGGGAAGGGCTGGCACATGCAGCTGGACAAGCAGCTGCCTGCATGCAGATGGGCTTAACACAATTACGAAGCCAGAGGCTGGGCCAACAATTCACGTGTGAAGACAAGATGGTTTTGTGCATTGAGGCCTTTTTTTGTGTCTGTCTTTGAAACACTGGACATGGTTTGAGTCAGCAGTGTTCTGTGCCTCTAAGGTGACAGCTATGTGTACAATTCATTCGAAACAGGCTTCCCAACAGCTCACAGGATTTAGCTGCATTTTGCTCCAATTCTAAAGGGCTGAGAGGTAAATGGCAGCCATTAGCAACACCATCAGATACTAAACTGCCCTGGGAATGGGTATTTTCAGGCTTTATAGCTTCTCTGTCAATTATTTCCTTTCTTAGCAACAATTTAGCCTACTGTAGACAGTGTCTTTCATCTCCATCAACTTTGTCAGATTCTAAATATCCCATCCACACATTCACATTGAAGGGAGAAGTCTCCAAGTAATCTAATTTACTATATTGATTTCCTGCTATGCCTGCCCTAGTTATGGAAACCTGGGCCACATTAGGAGACATAAAAAGCTAGAGGTACTCTGATTAAATAAGACTGTGGTAAATAGACCAACTGCTGACCTACTAAATCCTTGCATTTGAGATTTCTGTTGCTCTTCTGATCTATTTCTCATCTGGCTTTTTGCTCTATAAAGCTTTTTTGAGCTGGAGATACTAATGATAATACATTGCCAAGATTCTGATTACATAAACCTGAGCTCCATTTGTGCTAGTTTAGCAATGCTGATTTAAATCCTGACAGTTAGACTAAGGCAAAGTTTATGTTCAGACAAGGTCAGTAGAGGCTGTCAGACTGCATGGGCATGGGATCCTTTATGGTCACCCAGCAATGAAAAGAAGGCCAGGACAGACCTTAGAGGGAAATAAAACCATACTGCCTGGGCTTGAGTGCCATTTCCCATTCAGTTATGACAGAAGATGCACAGATTCTTAGCAAAGCCTACAGAGATTTTCCATGAGTCTCATGCTGTTTTCCAGTAGATGGTACTGATCAAGAGCCAGAGTACACTGCTCTCCTCATGATTGCCAAAAACTCCACATTAAAAACAGATATAGTTAAACAGCATCACATTCTACTCGATGAAACGAACATTTTAATGGCATCACTTCAAAACAAGAAGAAGTCCTAAAATTAGATTAAGGCCAGAGCTGATTGTAAAAGCATTGTTAAACCACAAATATCTGTTTGAAAAAAAATCAGCCTGTGACAATTATCATGAGAGATCCCTGTCTGCCACTAGCAGAGACTCAAATAATTCCCTGAACCCTTCTGAAAGGGGAAGACTGTTGTGTTAAGGATGGCTCTTGGATCATCCTCTTGCCTTCTGCAAACAGATGCACTCTACTAGACAGAGGAAGATCTTCCACAATAGCCATTCTATCCAGCTCCTTCTGCAGCTTGGAAAAGAAAAGGGAGTGACACTTACCTCTGTGATCTTTTCTAGAAAACAGAAAGACTCACAGGAATGGTGTGAATTTTCCTTCACAGACATCAGACGTGCAGTCAAAGCTGAACCACAGCAAGCATCCCAAACACCAATGCCACAAAGCCTGTCATGTGACTCCAAAATGGGGCAAGATGGGCTTGCAGCTTCATTCACCAGAATGCAGACTACAACATACAATCACTGCCTCAAATGCTAACACTGCTTAACATTGCTTAATGTTTGGTATTTACAAGTACTTGGGAGTTTTTCTGCTCCGCTGAGATGAATATCACACTGCTTATGGAGTGTACAATGTCTCCAAGACCACCCCTCTTGTAAAAGCTGTGATACCTAGGCACCATGAAACACAAATTCTGAAATGTGGGTTTGCTTGTCCATGTTTGAATTGCTAATGGTAACTGAATGCAGTTCTGTGTGGGAAATGCATTTTCTTTTAAGGTAATCAACATCCACCCTAAGGAAAGAATAAGATATGCATTTGGCAAAATATGCTTAGGGACAGCATCTAATTATTTTCTCTACACTGAGTTTGAATCTGATACTTTCCTTGAATTACAAATACGTGTTTACAGGCCTACAAACTGGAAAGGAAGTTCTGGGAGAACTTGGGAGTTTACAATTATCATGGAAACAAAGTCCTTGGGATCTATTTGCTTCCAGAGTTTCAGAGGCAACATGATGGGGTAGCAGAAAGTACAGAATACGCTCATTAAGGGGGAGGGAGGGTGTTTTCACTTAATTCCTGGTGGATGGGTTGGACTTCTGAAGAGTCCAAGGAACACACAAGCCTACTTAACAGGACCCACCTTCCATCACAGCTCCACTGCTTTCCAGATCTTTGCACAACCTCTTGGCCTGGCTCAGTAGTTTTAATTCAAGTATTTCTCTTTTTAATACTTCTGATTTTTTAAATTGATACTTTAACTGTTGTTTTTAACATGCTATTTTACTGCCTATGCGGCACAGAAACAAGTGCATTAATGCTTCTAGTCTCACTCTTCACAGTCCTTGAAAAAGTGTTGATTCTTTGTCACAAATTTAAATTCTAGGGCTGAGGGGTAGGTCTTAGCTCACTAGCAAACCCAAACACAGATATGGACTATGAGGTCAACTGGAAGGTAGTAAAGGTTGTTAGTATGTTGGTTTTGTGTGTCACGGTCAGCCAGCATGGCAGACTTTACCAGTGTAACAGCTGATGAGATTGAAGGTACACATGTATTCTACTTCTGAATAAAGCACACATTTCAGAGGCCCTTAAACTATTCCATATGAGGAGGTGAGTGGCAGAAAATTTAATGTAAACTTTCAAAAGGAACTGCTCACCGAGCTCTGAAGTTTGTGAAATAAGAGCTAAAACCCAGCCCTTTAAAAAGGCACTGAAGTTGTGCTACACTGAAGGAGCAAGTTGCTAGTTGTGATATGGAAAGAGCAGAGGGAACAGGCTCATCCTATAAATTCAAAAGCATGGCTGATTTCAGAAAAAAAAAATATTAAAAAGATCAGTTCCATCATTCCAATGTTCTTTTGTAAAAACTCACCCGTAACGAGAGCATTATTTGCAGCCTGACTCCCTTAAACCTAAGGAAGTTAATGGAATATCTCTCACCCTCATGCAAAGATTCTGCACATATTATATGTACCAGGAAATCCCATTGAAATTTCCTGTCCAGCCACCTAACTCTTAAATGTGACACAAATTCCACAGGACTAATGAAATCCATCAGACAAAGGCTGGAGGTGGCTCTGAGTCAAAAATAAACACTACTTTCTAAACAGGTTTGCCTTATAGCATATGGTATTTTAAAAACTGATTGGTCTGGTGACCTCACAGAGAAAGTGCTACTCATAAATAACAGAAGCTGTGCCCTCCACTATTAGTTTATATGGCAGCTAATATTAAGCCTAGTTTTCAACAAAGTCCATTCTGAATCACAGGCTGAGATCCTAGGGCAGTGGAAAAACGATGATATCTTAAAGCCGTTTCTTTAACCAAATAATCTTCAGATCTCAGAAAAACACACACAGTAAATCAAACAAGTACATCTGCTTATCTAAACAACAGTGTCCAAGGCTTCTAGATTTATTCCTAGAAAACTTGAAAATATGAAGAAACACTAAGAATTGCTCTAAGAAGCCGTGACAAAGGGCTACAGATTGGAAATCAAGGACCAACAGCTCTGCTATGCTGCTCTCACAGACTGCCCAGATGTAGCTTCCAACCCCCTTTTCCTGTTATATCAAAAGGAAAACAGGAGGAAAAAAAAAAGAGATCCTTGATTTACCTTTACATCATAATTTATATTCTGATTAAGATGTAAATTAATTCAATCTTTAGAGTTTTGGAGTAAGCACTTAAGGCAGTGTGCCAGTCTTTCAGAATGCTGCAGAACTTCATGCTGCTGTAAGGTTGTAGTGTTTTGTCTCAGAATGTAGCATTTGTGGGAGTGTGTTCTTCAGTTCATGCTGCTGTAGCTGCTATATTCAAGAAGTGTGTTCGTAGGAGCATAAGAGATTTGACAGACACGTTCATATAATGTAGAACATTGGGTGTTACTTACATTATTGATCATAAGATGCATGATTGTTTTTGGTATCAAATCTCGGATACATTTGTTGATAATAGACATGTAGGAGTCCACAAGATTTCGAATTGTCTCCACCTGTCTCTCCAGCTGGGGATCCATTGAAAAATTGTCTGCTTGGCCGTTCTCCTCATTTTCAGTCTACAAAGAAGAAAAAAAACCAACAAAAGTCTTTCAGACTGCAGTAAACTGGAAATATATTTGGGGAAAAATAGACTTACACTGAAGTAATCCTGCACTGTAACACATACAAAGAATGTCTGGAAGTTAAAATATTAAGTACTGCCCTATTTAACATTGGCATTTAACATCATGAAATCTGGACTTTTAGAGGTTAATGTGAGATGCAAGACCTTTTTCACAAAGCACATGGAATATTCCAATGTAATTTTTGTAATTTTATATTGAAGAAAGTTTTCAGGCAAAGACATGCAGTGGTAAATGAAACCCTAATAAATTATCTCAGATCACTTATTGAAATACTTATTTTCCAGTCTTGTACCATATGGATTCAGCCTGCCTGACCCATGCAAGAAAGTGGCACCTGCATTTTGAATTTCACCCCCATATGGGTAAAAACCATCCCTGACTCAGTTGTGACAAATTCCACAGTTCAGCCTCAAACTTGCTAGATGTGAATATCACCTATATAAACAAAGGATTTATGAAGGATAACAGCAAAAGCATCATTGGTTACAGTGCTCAAGACTCAGCATAACATAAGGTGAATTATATATTAGAGGTTTCCTTTTCAGTGGAGTGAAAAAAACTTTATATGTAAACAGTTTACCTAACTAAGGAAAATACAAGGAACTTTAACTGGAAGGTAAAAGATATGTACTCTGCTTTGGTCTGGCTTCTATAAGTGTAAGAAAACATTAAAAAATAATAGCAGCCTATTGGCAAAAATGAGACTGCTTTCTGAGGCTCAAATGAATCCAAAATAATGGATTTTAAACCAGGAAAGTACAAAGAACAATGTCCTTTCCCCAAACTCTGACATAAAATACTCCCTGAAAATGACCATCAAAGCCATATTAGCATGAACTATAAACCTGTTCTGTTGGTACCTAGAAGCCTAGCATGAAGAAACAGAAATTACTTGCACAAAGTGAATAACCCAATAATAAGAACTAATCATATACCAGCTAGATTCCCCTATCAGCACAAGCCCCATTACAGGACAGGATTTAGCTAACACGGGCAGACCACTAGCGCTGTGTAGATATTAAATTGGTAGATAACCCATTAGTGAAAGACTAAGAGCTAGATATGCAAACCTGGCAGCAAAGAGGCTTCTCCTTGCACAAAATCCATTCTTGCTGAGCCACAAAGAGATACCCACTTTCACCTCCTAAAGCAGGGTATGCTTCTGCTCATGAAACACTGGCAGGTGGACCACTTTGTATTTACTCCTTATAAACTATGGCTCAGTCAGTCCAGCTTATGCAAAACAGAAATGGTTGTGATTTGTTATGTTTGTTAAGAAACAAGGTCCGATGTAGCACTTAGAAACACAACTAAATGTTTGTAAAAGAAGCTTCAAAAGTTCAGACTGTTTTAAATTACAAATTAATTACTGTAAAACCAGCTAAGCTGTGGACTTTCAAAATAATTAGCAGTGCTTCCTAAAAACCTTGGGACTGTGGAGGACCCTGAAAGAGCTCTTGATGAAAATAGTGTTTTCATTTCTCTAACACCAGTAGACACACTGCCCTATAAACCTTAATAGTTTTGTTACTAAACTGCATATGCTGAAAAGCCACAGTATGCAGACTGAGTTTTTTCCCTTAGCCTCCGTGTTTGAAAAGAAACTAGCTGTAATTTTCCCTGTGAAATACCGAAGAAATGGAAATTCATACATCTATCATAAATCCACAGATGTTAGCCAAGTAACTACAGATCAAAAATGCCCCTTTCCCAATTCCCCTGCATTTGACTTCTATTCTCTTCCTTTTCTTCTTTGCTGTCTATATAAAGTACAGTTTGTCCATGTAATTTTTAAATTTTTGTTTTCTTCACTGTTTAAATTACAGATTGCAATAGGATTCTTAGCTGGCTAAGCAGCAAAGTGACAGATGTTTATTATTATCCTCATCAAGAGAATGTAAAGTAAAACTAGTGATTTTGTCTCTGATCTTTAAGGCAAAGGGTAGTAGTCTGCAAACATTTAACCTTTAATATACAGGCTCATAGGTGATATTTACAGAAAGTGAGTAATACTTCAGGAGTCCATCTCTTGTTTGGAACTGTAAAAGAGCTGACTTCATACTGCTGATTTATTTCCTCCGAAATCAACAAAGATTGATCTTTCATGAATTTACAGTCATTTATTTCAAAAGATTCTGACCATAGTATTCTTAATTATTTAATGTCTCAACAGAAGGCTTTTCAAGCCAGAAACCATCCTGTTTGCATTGCATTATGCACAGTGAAATCTGCTTCTAACAGACTTCTGTGTTCTACAACACGCCTGCCTTTTTTGTAAGCCATCTCTGCATTGTGCCAACAGCAGCACCTGAGAGTGAGGTTGCCTGGTAAAGCCGGGCATCAGAACAAGACAGAAGTGATGTAGGTACCCTATTCTATCTCAATGTCGGACTTCCAAAAAAGCTGGTTTTCTCTTTGAGCAGGATGGAGACTCCAGCTTCCCTGCAAGCCACCCCTCAGCCCAAATCCCTGCCACTCTGTGTTCTAGCAATGCTCTTGCAATCTGTTGCAATGGGTAAAACCAAATAAGAATATGTAAGAAAACCCTCCCATCTCTCTGATAGCTCTTGAACAGAACATTCATGCTAAACAGAAAACAAAGAAGCTGGAAACAGGTTTCTGTGCCTCCTTTCCCAGCAGCCAAGGCAGCAATAGTCCCCATTTAGTGCTCCTCATCCTTGAGCCAGAACTCACTAGTTCCAATTGCAAGTGTTAAATGACAGCATTTGAATCTGGGCAAAGTTTTTGTTCAGTGACTCTTGCTTAATACTACTATTAATTGTTGACAGGAATGGGATATTATTACTTCAAGATAACACAACTGCAATTACTTTAGGAACTTTTCTAAGCCTCAAACAAAAAAACTATGGAAGCATCTAGAGTGCTAAAAAGCAAGTAAAGAAAATTTAATGCATCTTGGAAAACTCAAATTCAGAATATCTAATGAAGATACAACAAAGCTACAGAGAAGCAGTAAGTGAATAAAAACATGGACAAAGAGAAGGTGACATGGAAGCCAGGATGGTCCTTTCATTTATATACACATTGCCCCAGAGATAAGGTCCTTCCCTTCTACTTTCTCTGCACTTTAGAAAAATGAAAATTACATCCATTCCTTGTGCTTTGCAGCAAGTCTCACCTGTCTTTCATAAGCTGCTTGGTGACCCCTGCATGGAAAGGTGAAAATGAAACACAAGTATGCATCACTGCTACTCTACTGCCTTTCCTGCATTTAGGCACTTTCTGTAACAAGAATGTATTAACTAAAGTGTCATACAAGAGAAGGCTAAAAGCTATATGTGAAATCCAAACCACTTCAGTTTGGGGGGAATTTTACTGCTCGCTGCAGTGGGAATAGGGTTTCACCCTACACATGCATTTCTACCAGAAAAGTTATTGGTTTTCTGAAGTCTGTCAACTCTTTGCTGCAAGAGGAATGATTTAGTGTAATACCAAGGGAAGAAGCATGAGGAATTACGTGAAATCCAAAAGAGAAGAAGAAAAAATAACAGTACTTCAGAATCAGGATAATTTCCTGGATTGTGGGAATTATAAGCATGTTGAAGAATGTCCCAGAAAACATTCAGCAAAAGTCATTCCTCTTGAAATTCACAGTAAAACTGGTAACATACTGAAAACAGTCCTGAGCTGGCCACACAGGGAGTGCAAGACTTCTAATTTCCATGATTTCATTACATTCAGGGCAGCTGCCAGCATATTTAAGAATGTCTTGTATAACATTCCTGATGTCAGTTCCAAGAAGGAGCATTTGTCTAGCATTTTCATTAGAGCAGTGTATCAACCCATTTTCTGTAATCAAAAAGGCATTCTATTAAAAATGACTGAGAGGAAAAGAACTAGAAGGTGACTAACTAAAGGCTAGAAGTCAAAGCAGCAGCAAAGCAATTCTTTGCATGCTATGAAGTCCAAACTTGCAGTGAGAAACCCATGATTTAAATGCTGCATTCATATCTTTAATTTACAGATTCAAGTTCATAACAATAACCACCTGAAAATTAAGTATTCCCTCCTGATAGTATTTATTTTTTAATTCATAGCTGCTGAATAGGTAACCTGTTTATCTACTTCTGTGCAAGTAAGGTTTTTCTTTAATGCACCAGCATGCAGCACATTGCAGTTGTCTCAACCCCCCTTGCTTTCTCCTAAATCTTTACAACCAATTCTTGATATTCTCTGTTAATTGCAGCTCAGTGCTGTACATGTAATTTAGCCAAGCTACTCTCAGCTGTACATGGCGTGCCTTTTGCCAGAGAACTGCTGAAACCACATGATGGCTTCACACAGTGAGGTTTTCTTACTGGAAGGAACCATAAGTAAATGACAATACATTACTTTTGTGTATTTACAACAAAGTGAGCAGCAGAAAAAGAACAGTTCCCGGGTAGCTTGGAAGCTGTTCTTTTCCCTCACAGAGGGTGACTTTGCCACTCTCTTCCATGCTTTCAGCATCTCCTGACTTAGTACTGCAGTTGCCTTTACTGAGCCACCCACAGGCTGCCCCTTAAGAGCTCCTGTGCTTTCATTAGCAGCCTTGAACTGCTCTAAGCAAAGGTTATGATCTGGCTTTTCCTTGCACACACGATCTCTCTCCCTTCATACCCACGTAGAAGGATAGATATATCCTAGCTCAATTTGATTCAAAAGTATTCTCTGGATTAGCTCAAACAATCGTCTACTCCGATTCTTTGTGGTTACAGATATTGTATAGTTCAGGGCATTGGATAAAACCTTCTCCTGAATCCACGTGCTGCTCCCCAGATATTTACAGAGCTTGACCGATCCCAAACATTCAAAATCTATGCTAGGCTCTCTCCCTGCCCTCTTCAATCAAGAAGTTGATCTGGAGCTATGAGACTGAAAGGAACGATGTATTAAGAGAACTCCAACACATTTGGAGTTACTTTTGTCTT